CAGTGACAACAATTTTCCATGGACAAGCCTAGCTACTATGTTCCATGATCTATGCCTGCTTGCCTCCTACCCTGTAATAATTGGGTTAGGCTTCAGCTGTCACTGAGGCCTCCTAAGATTTTTTTTTTTTTTAGTAGCAAGTACTTTATTTATTTATTTATTTTGACATGTATATTTGTCCTTCTGTGATTGACTTATTTCACTCAGCATGATGTCCTCCAACTTAATCCATATTATGCAGTGTTTTGCAGACTCTATGTTATTCTTTAGTGCTGCATAGCATTCCGTTATGTGTATGTACCATAGGTTGGTCATCCACTCTTCCGCAGATGGGCACGTTAGGTTGTTTCCATCTTTTTGCTATTGTAAATAGTGCTGCAATGAACATGAGCGTGCATGTCTCTGTTCCTGTCCTGGCTCTCACCTCTTCAGGATATATACCTAGTAATGGGATTGCTGGGTCAAATGGTATCTCCAATTCCAGCTTTCTAAGGAATCACCATATTGCTTTCCACAGTGGTTGTGTCACTTCACAGTCCCACCAGCAGTGCATGAGAGTCCCAATCTCTGCACATCCCTGCCAGCATTTGTTATTTCCTGTCTTGTTGAACCTTGTCAGCAGTGCTGAGTGAGACAGTATCTCGTTGTTGTTTTGATTTGCATCTCTGATGGCTCATGAGGTTTTTAATGTTGTCCTGTAGACAAAGTCAGATAGCAGCTGCTGGAATATGGAAGCTTCAGTAGCAAGCTTCCCCCTCAATGAAGTAACTCATGCTGTTTTCCAGTCACAAACCCTAGTCTAGAGCCACAGGTGATATGAGTTTGATTAATGTATGGATGTTCCGAGGGGTGCAGTTTTAACTCCTTATGGGGAATACCTTCCTAAAAATGTAGGCGATCAATAGGTGAAGTGGGCTTTGTCGTACAGGAGCATCTGTCTCTGGATGTCTTGAAGCAGGTGACCACATCTCAGGAATGTTCCTGAGGTGGCTCTGGCTCTGCGTGGCACGTTGGACTGGAATGACCTCTCTGATTCATTCCAATGCAAAAACCCTCTGAGCTCATGAAAGAGTGTCCAGTGAATGGGCTCTGCAAATACACAGACACTATACAAACATAAGTGAAATATTTTAAAAGATGAACAGTGAGATACTTGTCAGTCCCTGAGAGCAGTGGTTGGCATTTTGTGCCCCAGCAACATACCTTCCATGGTCAGTGGCCTGAAGTGTGTTCTTCTTGGCACTGGATGTAGTTATCTGCATTATGTGTTAAAAATGCTCTCAGCCAAAAACAAAACAAATAACCAAAGGCATTCTCTTATCAGAGTCTGTTTATAGGAGGTAGAGCAAAAGAACAAGGCAATCAGTTTTGATTCTTGGCAGGAAGCTAAGGCTGCTTCAAAGCTCCAGGGTTTACAGGGAAGAGAGGGGGAATTTTTAGCAGAGATTAAGTTAGAATTAAAGCAACAGAAAAGTCAAAATGAAAACAAGCATCCTGTGGGACCCATAGTGAAAAGACAGAAACAAAACCTGACATATGCCAGGCTCTTGGATTATTTTTTAGTGAAAGGATGAAAGTTTTTGAAGGTGCCTAAAGTAGAGATTTTTGGGGTTTAAAGTAGAGATTACAGAATGGCCTTGGTTAATGACACAGGCTCACAGAACCCACTCAGCATTTGAGCTGGAAGAGTTCAGCTTAGCACACATTGAACCTCATCCCTGATTTTACAGCTAATGAATGGAGTACAAGCCCAGGAACTGGAAGAGACTGCCCAAGGTCACAAAACTAGTTACAGTTATAGCTATAGTTGAAGTCCTCTAGAAGCCAGGACTCTGGACAACCTTTTTTTTTTTTTTTTTTGGTTTCAGGCAACTTTACAGAAGCAGCAAACAATTAGAACATAAGAAAGACAGCCACAGTGACTACAGTCTGAATTAACAGTGCATTTGGTCTTGTGGCCTGATCCCTGGGACTGGCAGCACTTGTTCTTGCAGTTGCCTCCTTCCATCCTCAAGCCCAGGGCAGAACAACCTGGAATCCTTGGGCTCACCCCCAGCAGTGGGTGCTGATGGACCCCAAACTGACGCAGGGGTCCTCAGAATCCTGCCTCCCCTCATAGCTTCTTGCAAGCATGCGTGGATTTGCACAGTCCTGGGAGGCAGCGGGGACTCAGGATCTTTCTAGACCACCTGCAGATCTGAGCAGTGTTCCACAGTGTCATCGTGAGTGTTGGTATTTGGCTTTCTGTGCTGATCAGGAGGAACTCTGCTGGCGTGGTGGTTAACACATTTGACTGCTTGCCAAAAGGTCGATGGTTTGAAACCACCAGCCACTCCACAGGAGAGAGATGAGACAGCCTTGGAAACCCTATGGGACATTTCTACTCTGTCCTTAAAAGGTCACTATCGTCCACCTCCTACTTTGGCAAGTAGCAACGGGGATCTTTAAAGCTTGCAAGCAGCCATCTAGATGCAACAGTGGGTCTCTACTTGTCCAGAGCAAAGAAAAATGAAGAAAACCAGAGATTCATGGCAACAATTAGTCCTGGAAATTGGTATACCATGCAATCCTCAGCCTATATGACTATGAGACCAGAAGAACTAGATGGTGCCTGGCTACCACTGTTAACCACTCAGAGGGGGATCTATGTAGGAGATGCTGGAGAGAGAGGGAGAACAATGTGGAACAAAACTCAAAATCATTTGAAAAAAAAAAGGGGGTGGGGGAGTGGGGAGACCAGGTTTGCTGGTCTGATAGAGCCTGATGGAACCACTGAGACTGTGGCCTCTAGCTGCCCTTCAGGTCTGGAACTGAACCCACACCTGTGGCTTCCAGCCAAACAAAAGACAGGCTTAGGAGCTGAACATTTACCTGATATAGATACACTCCTTGGAGAGAACAATCATGGGAGAAAGAAGGGCTCTTTATGCACAGGGAGACAGCTCAGGGGGCAGGGGTACATGGAGTGATGGACATACGGAAGAGGTGACTGTCAGGAGGAAGTGGGAGGGGGGAGCTGTTGCATTGGGGTAGATTGTGGTCAATGTCATGAGACAAAGTGTGTGTGAACTGCTATTTGGGAAGTGAATTTGCTCTGTAAATTTTCACCCAAATCACAATTAAAAAAAAAAAAAAAAAAGGTCACTATCAGTCAGAGTCCACTTGCGACAACGGGTTTGGGTGCTGACTAGGGTTCTGTTCTGTGACAAATGCCTGAGCAAATTGAACCTGTATTTAAATAATAGCAGAGAATCCTCATAAAGAACAGCCACGTGTCCACTTAGCTTTGTCCAGTGAAACCACGGACATTTAAGTGAGTTGTGGTTACTTGCTTCTGGAAAGGAGGATGGAGAGTGGGAATAACTGGGTCATCTAAAGGAAGAGGGGAGGGTTCTGTGTAAGTCACCACTGAAACCAACAAAACGTTCATTATCATCTTTTCACTACTCATTAATGCATTCATTTTCTTGTTTATACTCTGATTCTATCAAAAAAATGTTTGACAACCTAACAACAAAGAGCATGTGTACTACAAGTGAAGCGTAAATTAAGTCTGGTTGCTTGGAAGGAGGAAACAGAGATTACAGCCATGAATTGTCATATGAGATTTGTATTGGAGTTTTGCTATGTCCTTTCCCAATACAAGAGGAATATGCCATTTTAGTTGCCACAAGGAAAAAAAAATTAATTTCTTCAAGAGAGACAAAGTGTTGCTGTTCTGGGGCTCATGCCTTTTGTAAACACTTACTCCCAGCTCCCAGCTGCCTCATGGCCAAGACACCTCCTCTCTCCCCCTTTATCCTGTTACTTCAAGGTGTCCTTTCTCTGTCCCCTTGACCCATGGGGGAAAAAATGTGTTCTTAGTGTTGTCACATGCTCCCTGTGCATGTGGCAGACATGGCTTGTGGTAGTAATGGGATTTTGTTTGGGTCTTGAGATAATGCTGTCCATAGTGACTCCATGGGTAGAAAGCTTAGGGAGGGCCAGAAATCTAGGCTCACCCACCTCCCCAGTCTCCACCAATGTTCCTTTCCTTCTCCCCAAAGAGCCCTAGATCTCTTATCTAGTCCTTCTCTGCTGTGTCAAGGTGCTTTTCTTGAACAAAGATCTGGAGGAAATGGAGTTCTAAATACACATCGGGAAATGGAGACTTAAACGATTAGTGACTTAAAGGATTACACACCTTCATGCCCCCTGAAAGTGGGGAATGGAGCTAGCAATTGTATAGATGACATAAAGTTCAGGAGCTCACATTTTACACATATAAAGAGAATACTCTACTGAGGTCCTACCCCCGAGCTCCTAAGCTGTCTTCTAAAGCTGTACCACCAGGAACTTAAATTTCTTCCAGAGGAAGGAAGTGCCAGTGTTGAGAGTCCCATCTCCTTACATGCTTGTGAAAGCTGTCCACTCTTAACTCCTTTCTCCACCCTAAGACCAGAGGATTATCGGGGGATGTACCAGAACACTCTAGAATTTGTGTGTATGACAGAAGAGTTACAGACATGTGATGTGTTAGAGTTTGGGAATCGATAGTTTGAGAGAGAAAACACTAGAAAATAGTCTCTTCTCTCGGGGATTCAGATCAGTCACCTGAATATTTACTGAAAGTGTTTATGTAAGAATACCTATCTTCTACTTGCACTGTACCACCATGGATGTATATGTCTTAGAACGCATTATCATTAAAGAATGGTATATTTTGACGTGAGAAGTGTGGCCTTTATACGCTATAGGTAATATGAAACACTATGTCTGGCTTCTTGGGCAAACATCATTTGGAAGACCAGATTGGCCTGGCTTCCCGTTAGCATCTGGTGTCACTTGCCACTGTTCAGCTGTGTTGATTGCGCTCCAGTCACATGTTTTGCTGGACCACACAAAACAACTGGGATTTGAGTCCTCAGGTGAATAGAATGAATGTGCTCAGTTCTGCTTGGAATGTTTTTCTTAATTTAAGCAATGACTTGATTCTTACTTGTGCTTATTCTTTTTAAAAGTATTAGAAAGGAAGATATCCACAAGACAAAGTAGAGAGGAGCTGATAAGAAGGGGCGTGCTTAAGGAATTGCCTGATCAAGGTGAGGAAATTTAACATGCATTTAAAGTATTTTGATCCTTCATTCTTTGGTCCTTCTTTCCATTTGCTTTGAAATTTAAGATGATCATGGGCTGTGACAGAAAAAGCAAAGACTAATATAATCCAAGATTCTTGCTCTTATCCGTAATGTGGTTGTGGAGAATCTGAGACATTATAGGAAAGAAATTCAGGGACCTTTCTGGTGGGTCCTTTACCTTTACAATAAGTCACTTTAAACCCACAGCTCTACAAAGGGGTATTTGTGACTGGAGACACAGATAAGATACAAATGCTAGCATGGTTTCTTCTCTTCTCTGCTCTTGACCTTCAGTTTTTGTATACACGTTAACTCAATTGTTCGAGTAAATGCAGTTTTAACTTGGTTCATGCATTGTTTGTTTCTTAAAACTACCAATTAAAGAAAAAAAGAGAAACCGAGATGGTATACATGTCTCTCATCCTTTGCAGTCTACAGTACACCCAAACACTTGATCACAAAGGCATGAGTGAGCAGATAAAGTTAATTTGCAGTATGCGTTCTCTCAAGTGATTTCCCAATAGGGTTCCATTTTCATTTCTCTGAATCTAGTTGCCTCTCACCTTTTCACTAACAATTATTATTTCCAAGTATTCTTTTCCTTTATCTCTAATTTTCCCCTTCTTTAGCCATCTTCCCAAGGAGAAATCTTGCTCAAAAAAGACAAGATTAGATATAAACTGAGGTTGACCCTCAAAAGAAGACACTAATGTGCATTATTTTTCCAAATAACTCAGATGGTTTGCATTGCTTCCACTGCTATTAAAACTAAAGGAAACTTTGGTTGCAACATTGTTGATTTATCACATGCCTTTTCTCCTCTAACATTTACTGGGGTGAAGTATTATTACTATACTTTTCAGAAACAAATAAAATGCTATTTATTTGGAATTTAAGTAATAGTGCTTCTCTTTCCCTGATATATATTCCTTGCAAAGAGCTTAACATTTTTTGGCATTCACTACTTATAAATCCAGATGACAAGCTTTTTCCAACATCTGAATAATCCCAGAGCAGAGTTGAGAAATGTTTTAATGCTTTTACTCCCACTTCACACAAAACAAGGGAATCTGGAGTGATTTTTCTTGAGCCCTCACACTTTTAAGTCTTTTATTTCTATTTCTGATCTGTCAAACTTTTCTCCCTGTGTTGGATTGGGTTCTATCACACTCCCTATGTTTTAAGAATGAACTTTATGTCTTCCACGACTTCCTATTACCTTAAAGCTATTTATTTCCTGTCTGAGACATTTGAAGAAAAAAAAAGGAAAAAGCATATCCCTAACATTTGTTACTTGAGGTTGGACTTACAGTATCAAAGTTCATCTCCTGTCAGATCTCAGCAGAGGCAGTGGGAAATTTACATGTCCACTGAAAGCTAAAGCCTGAGCCATCAACTTTAAGGTTTGGGCCAGTGTACTTACTTTTTTGGTATCCTTTATTAGGAAAGAAAGAATAAAATGTGAAAAATTATGGTTGAAGCTATTAAGGGTTTTATTTATTTATTTA